CTTTAATGCAGTGATCCCAAACAAGTAGATTTAGATTTTGAATAAAACGAGCATATCATTGTTAAAGACCATCTGTGAGATACTTAGAAAACTAATCCTCTTGAATGTTGACATGACTTTAAGAATTTTAAAAACATCTACGGGTTAGAAACATAGAATGTGACGGCAGATAAGAACCATTCGGCCCATCTTTACCCTCTCAGTAAAGTACTACTTCCTGATATTATTTTTAAACCTTTGTCCCTCTAATTTAAAACTATGTCCTCTTGTTGTGGTAGTTTTTATTCTTTTAAATACAGTCTCCTCCTTTACTGTGCTGATTCCCTTTATGTATTTAAATGTTTCTGTCATATCCCCCATCTCGTCTTTCCTCCAAGCTATACATGTTGCGCACACACATAGTATATTTTAGGTAGAAACAGGCTTACAGCATCCCCTGTTTATTTTTAAGCTGATCTGTCATGTTTTACTTTCACAACAGTAGTATTGTTTATCTGCTATATGGGGTTTCATTTTAAGTTTTTTTTTTTTTTACGCAGTTGTGTAAATGTGTTAAATAGTTTACTTCATAAGCTTCCTTTCTTTGGGCTTAGCAAAGTCCATTCACAATGTTACTTAAAGGGCAACTATCAATTTTCAATTTTTTTAATATATTTTTTTTTATCAGTTTATTACATAATATATAGTTAGGTCTGGAACTATTTGGACACTCACACAAGTGTTGGTATTTCAGCTGTTTACCAAAATAAATAAAAGTTACAGTTAAAAAGGGAATATGAGCATAAAGTGCAGTCTCTCAGATTTTGTAAGAAGAGTTTAGGTATTAGAACTCTTTAATATGGAGGTCCAGGGAAAACAACAGTGACGGATGATCATTTCCATGGTAAAGAAAAACTCCTTTACAACTTCCAGCCAAGTGAAGAACACTCTCCAGGAGGTTGGCATGTCATTATCCAAGTCTATCATTAAGAAAAGACTTCGTGAGAGCAAATACCGAGGTTTCACCACAAGAATAAAAGGCCAGATTAGACTTTGTTAAAAAAAAAAAAACATCTAAAAAAAGTCAGCCCTGTTCTGGAAGAGCATTCTTTGGACAGATGATCAACCTGTACCAGAATGACGGAAAGAAAAAAGTATGGAGAAGGCTTGGAATGGTACACAATGCGAAGTATCATCTGTAAAACATGGTGGAGGCAGTGCGATGACATGGGCATGCATGGCTTCTAATGGCACTGGGGCACTAGTGTTTAGTATGTGACAGAAGATGGAAGCAGCTGGGTGAATTCTAAAGTGTATATGGATATATTGTATGTTTAGATTCAACCAAATTCAGCAAAGTTGATTGGACAGTACTTCACGTTACAGATGAACATTGACCCAAAACATACTGCGAAAACAACCCAAGAAGTGGAATATTCTGCAATGGCCAAGTCAATCACCTGATTACAACCCAATCGAGCGTGCATTTCACTTGCTGAAGACAAAACTTAAGACAGAAATACCCACAAACAAACAACAACTGAAGACAGCTGCAGTAAAGGCCTGACAAAGCAACACAGTGGAGGAAACCCAGCATTTGGTTATGTCCATGCATTCCAGACTTCAAACAGCAATTTTCTGCAAATGATTCTCGATAAAGTATTAAAAATTCAAATTTTATTTAGGATTGTGTTCATTTGTCCAATTATATACAAGCCCCTGAAATAGGGGGACGGTGTATGAAAATGGTTGTAATTCCAAAATGTTTCATACAATATTTTTGGTGAACCCCTCGAATTAAAGCTGAAAAGTCTGCACTTCAATTGCATCTTGGTTGTTTAAATTCAAATCTTCTCAAAATGATCATTCTTTTGCTCCTTACAAACTCATCTGCCAGTGGGTCATCACTACTTACTCTCATGAATGCGATTTCAAAATGGAAGATCTCGCACATTCGCAATAAAGTGCTATAGGCATCTACTGCGGATCATGTGGGAAGACACATGTTCCCATCAGCCGTAGGAGCCGATGTTTGCCACGAGTAATTTGATAGTTTTTACTTTGTCTCATGTATATCTTTTCATTGTATTGGAATTTGAAAGAAATTCCAACACAGTCAAACTAGCTTTTCTATCTTTATAAAAAGTTCAAAAAGGTACAGAGACCGTTCAGCCCCTAAAAATTTTTTTATTGCGAGTGTTCACAAATCTCGACCAATGAGGTTTAATAGTGGGAGGTAGCCAATCAATATTCAGGCAGTATTATAATTTTATAAAGTCCATACATTTACACAACAGTCGTCTGAAAATAGGATATGTTAGTATAGGCCAGGGACAAAGACACAACATTTAGACAGAATTAGAAGAATTTTATTAGGCAAAAAATAAAAACATGAGAGATTAGTTCTAAGGGGAATAACAGCAGGGTAAGCCTTGTTCTGCAAAAATATAGCATTATAAAAATGCAGTTTGAAAACTACAACCCAAGAAACAAACTCCCCTATAAACATTTTTATACTTTTTATTGGACATTAAATATATTAACTATTTCATAGTAACAATTTAGTTATACATAAGCAGGGTAATTTTATTATATTGTAGAAGATACCTCAAAATTACAATGAAGATACAAAGCAACATGTCTCTAACAAGGACTCCACTAAATTACATAAATTTGGAATGTATAATAGTCTGTAAAAAAAAAATCTCAATAATAATAATAATGATAAAAAAAAAATCAAAAAACTATGAAAAAAGTAGCAGTAAGTGTCTGATGGCAGTACGCTAATAATTCAGTAAATTATAGTAGCTTTATTTTTTTGCACTATGAACCATTATAATTTTTAGTACGTGTTGAAGCCTGTAATACAATTGCTGTCTACAATGGAAAAAAAAAACCAAGAAAACAACTTAAAAATAAAGGAAAAAAATGACGGTTTAAAGTAATGTGTCTTTGAAAAAAATCTGTTCGCTAAGAAATAATAAAAAAAAAAAAATCCTTTGGCAATGATGACACAGTCTATCTTTTTATAAATGAAAAGAAACAAATGTAAAATAGTCAAATACAGAATAAAATGTAAACATGTCTGTATACAGCGGACACTAACAAGTGTACAAAAACATATTTACAGACACACACGCAGACACTCATCAAGATCATTTAACTCTTTGCCTGTGAGAGGGGTCAGCATTGAACTGTGGTCTGACAGAGAAAGGGTTAATACTGGAATTACTTTATTTCACCGTGAGATGATTGTTTCTGCTACAATTTGAACAATACATTCAAACCTTACTTTTTCGCGACTTAATAAATCAAAATAAATAGAATTCAAATACAAAGTGTAGATATCTAGAAAAAAAAAAAAATTTACATTTTTTTTTCCGATTGCACCGAGCCTACTATAAAGGGAGTGGCAATACAGGTTGATATGCAGACATAATTTCTAGATTAATTAATGTTAAACAGGAGAAATACACAAGACATCCAACTATGCATTAAAAAAAAAAAAGGGTGACATATTACATAAAATGGTAAAAAAAAAAAAGGGCTTTAGCACATGATTTGCATTTCTGCAAAAGGTTTGGAAATCAAAAATGTTTAAGGATTTGATAAAAAAGAAAAAAATTCACATGAAAAATAAACACTATATTTTGCTACAATAGAGTTATTGTAGATTTTATTTTCTATAATAAAAGTGACTCGGACAAGATATTCTTAAAATGGACCATAGCTCATGTACTATTAGAAACAGTCATCGTCAAATTGATGCAAATTATGCTCACACATTTGTAAATCCATGTTTTAATAGATATAAAATATTCTAAATAACAATGGCATATTGTGAGAACTAAAAAAAAAAAAAATCTGAAATATAAAGTGATGGAATGTATATTTATATACTTATATATATTTATCAGCACGATAATTTTCTTACAAAAAAAAACATCTTATTTGTAAAAATATTTAGGTTAGTAGATAATACATCATATGGGCATCTCTGTAAAGAACAAAAAACAAAAACGTGCGGCATTTATATCTTAGAGTACAGACAGTATAAAAACATTTATTTGCTCAGTTTGAGCTAAATAGTGTAACATTTATAATAAATGCACTTTTTTTCCCCCTCCGTAAAGACAAATCTGTGCTTATTCAGAAAGTGCTGCAATATGTTCTTTAGAAGCACAGAAAACTAGATATAGATATATATATATATTTTTTTTTTACTCTAACATATAAATGAAATGCAAAGCAGGTCAACATATGGAAATGGATTTGCATACACTTCATGGGTTCGTAAGGCCTATTTACCCTTCAAAAGGCAGAAATAGCACACATTGAATGGATTGGACATATTGCAATTAAAGAGTTGAAATATTAGCTAATGCTTTAAAGGTACACTACATAATTTAAAGAATTCGTAGGAAGCAAGAAGCTGCATGGTCATGCTTCACATTACCGTGCTATTATATTAAGGATGCCCATTTTATTAGCACCAAACTCCATAAACATTAGTTTCTTTTTTCAGGAAGAAAAAAAAAATATATAGGATTCATTTTTACACCAATAATGGTGTGTTTCCCTTATAATCCTACAGACATATAATCAGCACGGCTTTGTTTTAACATGACATACTATAAAAATATAGCAAATCTACATTAAACCATTCAGATGGTGGATAACTTGAATTCATTAAAGGAGCAGTATCCTGAAAAATCCCTGTCTAGGAAAAATGAGTTGCGTTCAGAGCAGTGTTTCACAGATAAATGCCGTATTCTCCTTCCTTTGGCATCATAGGCTCGTTGAACGAGCTATTGTTAGAAGAAAACTGTGCGCATGCACTAACAGAGTACATGTACAATATTCCTGATGCTATCGTTTTGACAGCTGGTTTGGCGCATCAGAGAAAGGGGAGGAGTTATAGGCAATAGGTGGTTACTCTGAGAAACGCCATATGGCACTTTACAAATCACAGGCATGAATCAAATCGATGACTTCATTCATGTGATTATGGAACAAAGTAGGCCTAACTGTCCCTTTAAGGATTTACTGAAATGCAATGAAAGTTCTACATGGAGTATCTCTTTTTTATGAGTGTATGTATAATTATATGCACCCATACACACTGTGTTTACACAAACACACCAGATGTAAGCTTATAAAAGATTATACAGAACTCTCAGGTTTTATCAGTATCGAAGTTACTTAAAATTCTCAAAAAAAAACAAAAAACCAGTGTACGCCATCTCGAGTCCGTTTCACGAAAGAACAGTCAGTTTTTCATTACAGCTCTATTTTCTGTATTCATTACAGAAGGTGACAGCGTTCTAATGAAGACTGAGGGCTATTTACTAAACGAGATATTGAAAACGGAACTGGGAGGATTTGTTTTACCTTTTTTTATTTTGTCCTTAAATTTAGCAAATTCCTTTTCAGCATAGTTTAGTAAATAAACCCTTCAATGTCTAGCACACGGAAGGAGGCAAAGTGGATTTTAATAGAACCTAATATCAATGTGGAAAAGCCAAGAAATGTAGACCCACTGGTCCGTTTGCAAACTTGATTCGCACATCTCTATTCTTCACTTCCATTTCACAAATATCACATCGTCTGATTATACAATAAATCACAGTGTGCTTGTCTACGATTTCCTAAAAGCTTCCCTAATGCCTTTCGTATATGCACACCCTTTCATTGCCAGGCCTGTGAGGCCAAAGGGAAGAGTGGAAACTGCATGCCTATCATTCTTTTCTTTTTTGAACAAACTATTCCTTTTGTCAACTACCACTTGCGAAAGCTGAACATTTAACAAGGACGTGCTTTAAAAGCAGAGGTTCCACATAAACGAACAGCGCTGTCTTGACATTTAAGAGTCTATTAAGGCATTTCACACCACGGTTCTAGAACACAGGATTTTAATTCCCTTTCTAAGAATTTCATGATGCTTTATGTTTTTGCATGTAGGAAGGATTCAGTCGATCCAGCCTCTCAATGAGTGAGCAGCAAGAATGGAAATGCACTTATATATAATACAATCATTTCCACCTATAAGTTTAATTAGAATAATTAAACATAAATATTGAAAGAAAAAAAAAAAGAAAAAAAGCACAGGTTGTTTTTGAAACAGACAAATAAAATCTACTTGATTACAAAGTACTGAATAACAACGGCAAACAGGAAAGCCACTACTGCAAACATCATCAGTAGCAAAATGGCAAATTGCTCATCACTTAGGGGCTTCCTCTTGGCCTTTGTAGATTCCGTGGTAGTGTTTGGACACTGTAGGACCAATTCTTGTCTTTGAGATGAGAATGTGGTGCTTGGACTGTAAGGTCCATATAATTCCTGCAATCCTGTAGAATCTTGGTATTGTCGTCCAGCGCAAACTCGAAACCGGTATTCACAGTTTGTTTGAAAGTTTGTAAAACTGAATGAAGTGTCTGGCCCTTTGTATACCTGTTCAACAAAAAAAATACAGTGTTACTTTGTGTTTGACAAATGCAGGCCAAGGGTAGCCAATCAGCCATCCCCCATTTTGTTATGGTTCTGAGGAATGTTCTTATCTGAACTCATGAACTGATATGAAGACCTATATTAAGTTGATGGTCTGATGCTTAATCCACCAAAATTACAGCCGGAAAAAAACAAAACACTCCTTAAAAAATTATTTTCAAGACAATGGGACTGCTCACGCAATGTGCAAAATGGATAATCGACTGTAGGTTTTCACCGCAAACTCAGCCTTTTCATTGAAAAGGTAGTGTTTACATTGCTGCCAAGTAACATCTCTAGTGGCAGTCACGGAGACGCCCACTAGAGGTGTTTCTGCCTAGAGGAGCTGAACATTCCTTACAGAGATGCATGGATTCATCTGCCTTTGCCAGACATCTTAAAATGGGCCATGGTTGGCTCTTCCAGCAAGACAATGATCAAAAACATACATTAAAATGAACATTTACTGACCACAAAATCAGGGTTCTGCCATGGCCATCCCAGTCCCCTGACTGTGTGCACATACATCATTAATACCTATATGGTATATTATAAAATACACCATATAAATTTAATAACTATAAAATGTAATACAATTATTTCACAATTTCATTACATACCTGATCGATCTCTCTCCCGTTGGTAAGTTGAAGGATGTAAACAATGGAATCTCCTCGCATGGGCTGCAAAGCCTCCCAGGTAACTTCACACAAATAAGGTTCAATCTGTTGTACTTTAGGTGCTGTAAATCAAAGGAAACTCATAAGTTACATCAATGTCATACTTAAATACAAGATGTGGGAAAAACAATCAACCTACGGTGAAATCACATGAAAATATATGGAATAAAATATGCTTTTAAATGAAGATCACACCTGCCTTCTCCAAAACAGGTGCTTGCCTCCAGCTACTCATTTGTAACACATGTCGCTTCTCACAATATATAGTAATGCAAAAGCACACTGGCCTTGTGAGATGCTGTGAATACCATTTGTCGATGGACATATTTGTAGTGGGTCATTACCCGTGGTACGGTTACAGAGGCACACAAAGGCTAGACGTGAACTAGTACGGACATTAGTTGCTGAAAATCATAAATTATGTTAAAGCCATAAATTTATCAGCACAAGCAATAAATGAAATACTTGGCACTTTAAAAAGCAAACAATCGCATTCTGCATTATAACAAAGCACATTGTGGTCACTTGATAACAGGACTTGTAAAACTTTGTTCACATTAGATAAGATAAAGAATACTTCCAACATGGACATTTTGCAACCTAGCTGACACTTGACCGCTAGCAGTGATAATGTTATTAACTTTTTATTAATAAACATCTAAATGTTTGGTTGGTTTGATCACTAAATCCTTTATTGGATGACAAAACAATCAGTATGTAGTATGTAGGCTACGCTATACATGTAGGTAAAAAGTAGTTATTTTCAATATTCTTCAGATCTATACTTACTGCCTTCTGTCATTGCAAAGCTAATCATGGAAGCAACCAGTTTATGGAGGGCTAAAACATTTTTTTTTTCCACACTCTGCCAGATAGACTTTTGAAAAAAACCTAACCAGTCCGAATTTCCCACCTTTTAATGCCGCTGGTGGAGATTTGGTTGTAGTAAAGTTGTAAACGTCAGAAAATGGCCCCTCTCCTGCATCATTGTAGGCTTGGATTCTGAAGTTATATGTAGTTGATTCATTTAATCTTTGAACCTTGAATGTGTGGCATGGACCATTGTAGATTGTAAAAAACCTAGGAATAGAAGGATTCAATCTTTTATATTGGCCCTAATAGGTTTGTTTTCAACATGACAAATTATTAAGCAAACAGTAGCAATATTAAAATAAAAAAAAACACACACAAGGGAGATCTTAGAGATGAAATTTTAAAGATTAGAGATAACAAATTAGCCATTTTGTCTTCGAGCCACACCAAAGCAGGGGTCAACCCCTCCGTCTCCACATGTTCAAGGTCAGCCAGGCTCGTTTTTGTGTTGATGTGGTGCCACTCCACTATACAGACTACCAGGGGCATACCTAGTTAGTTGGAGAAGCAGGGATTCCTTCTTGCTGCACCTCCATGTGCAGCAGTAGCAACATCGGGTAAGGGCCTTGTTAAGCTCTGTCCCCGCTGCCGGTTTGACCCTGCCCTGGCTTTTCTTAGCTATGCCTCCACTTTCCTTCCGTGCGGCCAGTTCAGCTAGTAATTGCTGGTCTCTACACTTGTGAGCTGTGCCGGCCGCCCGGCACCCCAGCTGTCATGGGGTACAGTTCACACATCCCCCTCCAGCACCCAGACCAGGATCATGGCCCCCACCTAATTGGTGGTACCCGGGGCGGACCCACTAAACTCCTCACACCCCCGCCCGCAGTACACCACTGCAGACCACTTTTGAAAAACTGACAGACCCAGGCAGCCTGACTGATGAACCCGTTAAGTTGGTCAAACTTGAGCCTCGGCCTAAATCACCAAAAGTTTGACAATATTGGTACTGGAGAATTATTTATAACGTTTACAATTTACTACAATGCAGTGTGCTTTGAATAAACAGTCTTGTGTTTCATTTTGCCAAAACTATTATTTCTTTTTTATTACTGTATTTTTTTTTTTAATTTGCATAGTGTAAATAGTTGCACTTTGTACTTTACAAGTTACATTACAGGTAGGAGGTTCAGTAAGTGATTTAGGTATATAGAACACAGCTTAAAATTCCCACTCATCTCTAGCCTTTAACAAGTGACAATTCACACAAATTATATATTATAAATAAATACAATCTCTAATTATGTGTAGATTCCATTGTAGTAGAGGGGCTGGTTGCTACACTAAGTAGACGGAAGCAGCACCAAGTTTAAAGGTGTATATTCCTAACGTTATAGTGGCCTGGTGGCCTTTTAAATTAACGGCCCCCAAACTGTAGAGGGGGGTGGGGTGGTATTTTACTTACCTTTTTTCCCTTACAGCACTGGACTCTATAGTTATCACAGCTTCCTCGACTGAGATAATCATTTTAAAGTCCTAATGCTGGCAAAGCATCAAGGGAGTTGTTGTCACGGTTCTCCTGTCGGCGTGGCTGCACATAAACTAGGCAGCCACGCGGACAGAAAGGTTTGAAACTTACCTTGATCGCGGAAGGCAGCTGCCCGGTCTCCCTCCGTTCCGGTCCCCAGTGGGTGCGACGTTCTTAGGAATGCCGGTCACTGTGGATCAGCATTTTATAATAAACTTAAAGATGGCTCCAACATGTGTGCGACGTCACGTCATAGACGTGCACATACATTTTGGGGACAGAGGTCAGAGACAGCCAATTACAGCCTATCGAGGGTTATTTAAACCCAAATTATGGTTTTACCAGTGTCCTGTCGTGGTTTCCACTAGCTGGTTATCCGAGAGTGTGTTCCTGATCATGGTTTTTCTGGTATTTGACTATGGCTTTGTTTTGACTTCCCTGATTTCTGGTATTCTTGACTTCTGTCTTTCCTCATCGTTGCGTCTCATTCTGTGTCCCTGACCTCTGCAATTATTTTGACTATTCTTCGGTACGTTAAGTCCGGTTAGACGTAATCCTTAGTCTTTAGGTGTGATACAATTCTGCGTGCTGGATCAACTATAATCCTGACAGTTGTATTACACAACATCTGGAGTACCGACGGTTGCCTACCCCTGTACCATAGGCATATAAACTCTGCAGTTCTGCAGAACGGCAATATTTTCAGTTGCAACATTAGAATGACGGGAGAGGGGGTCCTGACACGCAGACCACTTTATTGAGATGGAGTGGTATGGGTGCCTATAGTATCCTTTTAAAAGTAAAATAATTTAAAGAAAAAAGCACTGTATTGTTAATTTTCCTTAGAAACAAGTGAAAATAAATGCTGTAGAATGCACCAGCTCATGTCTTTCAAGCTGTGAGGAGACCCAGCGCCAAACTGCTGAAAGTAATGAGCAAACAGAGCTTTTAAACCTCCAGAAGATTAATTAGTTGATTCTGTGCCCATTAACAGAAACCATCGCTAATGTCTGGAGAACCTGAATCTCTCAACGTTAAATTTTAACCAATTACCTTTATGTCACTAATGAGCTGGTAACATGCAGGATTGATGAGTCATTCATTAATCAGTTCTCAAGCCCCAGCCAGCTACTCACCTGCTGAGCTTATCCTCCATTTGTAAATTGAACTGTGAAGTTTCAGTTGCTAAAGCTTTGCTCGATCCGTCACCCCATTTCAACTTAAGGCTTTGGTGGCTGAAAACTACACATTCCAGAGGGGGAGGGTTAGGAGGTGGTGGTTTGGTTTTGGCTTTAATAGACGGGCTAAAAGGACCTGCTCCAAAACTGTTTATGGCCTGGATCCGTATCCTGCAAGAAAGGAAAAGTAATTTCATTTTTTAAACGATTTTCCAAACATTGAACACAGATATCAGTCTGAACCGCATATGCACACTTTATACCCGGCAGAGCTCAAAAGAACATGTAGGGGCATTATGGAAGTATTATCAAAATTCCAGAATTCCATCTCTTACTGAACTACTATTACCACTAAGCTTAGCCAGGCACTGGCTGTGTTTCTGGCTGACAGAGATTCAGTGGAGGGCTGGTATTTTAAGATGCAATTTCAGGACATCGTCATATAAAACAATGCAAATGGAAGCAGATATCTCATAAGACACATTTCAAGGTTTTCCCTGCCTATATTCTTTAACTCACAGACAATTTAACCTATTCTGTATGAACCATATTTGTAGTCTATCCTTTGATCTTAGTAAATTACCCTTTTTCTTTTAAATACTTTATAATTTTTCCGGCCACACAAGTTGCCATTTTCCTTTTTTAATAAGTGAAGAAACTGTTTGTTTAATATTTCTTGCAATAAAATTAATTTCTGACTCTGAGCACCACAAGCTTTGCACAAGAGTTTAAGGGCCACAAAATAATTAACTATGTTTGAAATTTACCAGCAAGCTGTAAATATACAGTCATCAAATAAAGTTCCCAACCTGATTTTTAAATTCATTGGTTCTAAACTTGTTCTTCCCATAAACACAGGCTGGACGAGCCCAGGGGGAAATGCAACACACAAATATCTAGTGCCATAATGGTAGCATTAATTAATGGATATTAAGTTGCGATTAAATAGCTTTCGTGGGGGCGGGGCCTGACTGGAGCCCAAGATGGTCGCATGTAACTGAAGCTCCTCAAGGATACCAGAATCCTGATCCTAATCTTAAAGTTTGGTATCTTACTTATGGCACAAACACACTTAACCCTTCTGAGGAACACCCAGAGACAAACTCGACCGGCTTTGCTGCAACTCTGAAGGGCACAGACCTCAAAGAAGACCTCATTGCAAACTCACCCTTTCAACTCACCTGTGGTGGGGGTTGGGGGGGCGGCCGACCCCCTGTACGGGCCTGAAACCCATCGACCTCTGAGCCCTGTTTCCCCGGTGTGGGGGTTATCCCGGTCCCCACTGGCATTCATCTGGGTCACACTATAAGCACTGCAACCTGCAGCGAAACCAGAGATTGAAGCCTGCCTCATACCCAAGATGGCCGCTGCACAACAGCCTGCTGCTCCGCAGACCACTCCACAACCGCTTACCTGTGGTGACACGTTCCTGCAGGCCTTTGACAGAATATGTGCCCAATTCTGTGCAAAACTGGATGTCCGCGTACTCACCACTCGCCTGGGTAACGTCCCCGAGATCCGACCCGAGAGCCGGCAACACGTGGTGGGAACACACCCACATGGCCACCGCAGAAGGTCGAAGGTGGGGGGGCTAAAGCCACCAACGCCGCAGACATGTGACCACCAACACCGGAGGGTTAGGAGGAGAAGGCCGGGGACGCAGAAGACACAGGCTCGCAGCACACTGAACATAGCAGCCTGCCGCCGCACCCCTGCATTCAGTTGCGGTCGGAGAGTTCCCGCTCAGCGAGACCCGACGCGTACATCAACCAGGCACCAAAGCCCTGTCAAGATTACTAGCCCTGATCGACCTCACAACGGCATAAAAAGAGACTGCACCCATGCTGGGAGCTGTAGGGGCCCGTCTCCACAACACTGGATTGTCACTCATGAGGAGACCCGTGCAGCTAGAGCATTGGACTCTAGGGGGGCTTGGAGCTGGTGGGGAGCAGATAAGTGGGATATGTGCCGTTACTTTTACCTTGGCAACATTCACAATATGAAAGGAGTAGGCTGAACCCTCTAATTAATTATTTCTTGTCTGCAGCCTTAGCTTTTTAACTTTCTGCAGGCAATAATCCATGTTGCTTTCTCATTTTGACCCTGTACATCAATTCCCCCAAGCGTTTGGCACCCAGTGGCATTACTCAGTTAACAGTTATTCACCAGGTCTAGCAGTTAATCTATGTTTGAATGTGTTGTTTCCCCAATTAATTAGACATCTCCGCTCAACATTAAAATTACCATATAAAAATGGGCTTCCTCATCGTCAAGCCACGAAATGCAAAATTCTCACAGTACAATTGCATGCAATCTGTTTATCTGATTATCAAGTGTTGTTGCTCTCGTACATGCTGTAGTGTGACCTTATGCCTCTTATTACTTATTTTGCAGACTAACACTCTAGCACTAAGACAACTTGACATTTCCATAGGTACATAGTACACGTAGTAACCCCAGTGCATAGGAGTTTCCCCTGCTTTCAGCTACATGGATAACGCATGTGTATTGTTAATGCCTACCATATTATTGCTGTTAATGTATCTTACCATGTACTGTGCTATACCTGTCTATCTTTAATCCAAGTTATAAACAGATGGCATGTTTGATAGGGACGTTTACCTCGCACGATGATTAACTACTCTTAGTTACAACTATGTATCTCACAGCGTGATGTCATACATGTTCATCCTGACTACTTAATTTTTAAAAAATGTGCAAAGCTTTCAATGCCATAATACTGTTTTCATGTGTATACCACCTAGTTTGCTCCAGCTGTTGTGGAAAAGCAAACACACTTAATAATCACATGCACAAATAAAATAAAGAATTTAAAAAAAATAAAAATAGCTTTTGTGCAATATTGAAGTATTTACTTTTAAGTGCAGTAATGGACAACCTTTCCCACTCCCAACTGTAATCCAGCAAAAAGAATATCAGATGACATTATCCGAACCATTGGGCAACACAAAAAAATAAAACATCTGTGGGGTTTATGTGATTAGTAAATGCACAGTAAATATATTACCTGTAGGTGCGATCAGGGATCAGGTTCTGTAAAATACAGCTGGTAACACAGTCTACGGTTAGCTGCTGCTTATCCCCATATTCTATGTTATAGCCAGTTATATCGGACCCATTGCAACATGGCTCTTTCCAGGCAATCGCAAGGCACTCGGATGGGGAAGGAAGTGAGGCTTCTAAAAGTTCTTCATCGACCACTTGTAAAATTGACACAGCAGCTGGAACAGACGCTGGAGTGGTCACCACGGCAGTATCTCCAAATAGTCCGGCTCCAGCTGTATTAACAGCCTGAAAGGAGAAGCATTTCTTTATATCTTTTAAAAGATTTACACTGTATTTACCATTTCACAAAGATTAAAAGAAAATTAGAGACAGTCATATCAATAGACAGACAGACAGACACACACACACAAACAAATTGTAAAGAGGTTAACAGGGAGAGGGGGAGAGAGAGAGCGAGAAAGAAAAAAGAGATGAAGAAAGGATGGAGAGTAAAGGAAAAAGAGGACAGGGTAGGGTGGGTGGAATAGGAAAAAGCAAAATAAATATTGTTAGTTATTCTTTTTCAAATAAAAAACAATTATCTGGTGTCACTACCTGGACTCTGCAGTAATATGTAGTTGCCGGTGTAAGGCCTTTGATTTCATAGCTCGAAAATGAGCCGTCGTAAACTATCTGCATGCATCCATCCATCCTTCCCCATTCTAACCTGTATTCGGTGACTTCTGAACCGTTGCATAAAGGAACCTTCAAGAAAACAAAGAATGTCAACGACAATACAAACAGAAGCACACTGCCTCTTTAAATCACAGTTCGTAAACAAATATCCTTGGCCACTGCAGCTGCTCTGTCCAGCCGCTGATGCCACACACATTCCAAGAGCAGAAGGCAGGGGAATTAAATCCACTTAAGAGAGCATACCATGAGTTTAAGAACAGATTAAATACAGAAAATGATAGGGAAAAATTGGGTTGGCTTATCAACCAGCATAGAGCTAAATAAATACATTTTATTGCTTGCCATTCACTTAATAATTATTTTTACTGTATACTCACAAAACAACTTAACTACATGTTAACAATACTGTAGCAGGGATAGGCAACCTTTGGCACTCCAGAGGTTTCGGACTACACCTTCCATGATGCTTTGCCAGCTTCATGGCTGTAAGAGTATTGTGGGAGATGTATTCCAGAACATCTGGAGTGCCGAAGGTTGCTTACCCCTGGACTATGAAGTATACAGTATGCCCTTAAAATGTACATAGATATGTGATTATAAAACTATTCAGTGAATGATTAGAGAAGGATGAAATTTCATGCCAAAAAAACTAAATTTGAGACATTCAACAGCTTTCAATTGTGGAGAAAAAACACCTTAAAACCTCCTTCACTGCAAATAGTTTGAATGCATTAAGAAACAGTGTAACCATGCAAATGCATGATCATCTGCATTACTATTATTTTTGCCTTCAGTAGGAATTTGCAGAAAACGGAAATTCCTACAAACAGAAAGTAACTTTGTGAAATGCCCAATAGTCAGTAACAGTGCTAGTTACCCAGAGAGTGCAAAGCTTATTGGCTGACAATCAATGAACCGGCTCTGCACCGCAGGTCTTAGCTCACTGGAGTTACAGGAAGGTGCTGCAAGGATACACGTTCTCAGGAAGCTACAACTGTAACCCAGCAGACTCCAGGCAAGTGGTCAAGCCATTTTGCAAACATTTGACTATGTAACCTGGGAGGGCACACCTGACACCATAACCACTACAGCAGACTAAGAGTGTTCCTTTAACAAAAACCTAGACATGTGAAGGGTCACTAGTTTACTTTGCCAAGAGAATAGAGGTGTTTCTAATATACTGATCCTCATACTAAACTAAACATAACAAAACTCTCAACACAAAAGAGTTGGGTAAAGGAAACACGCCTACCTCCCAGCTAGCTAGTACGCAGTTTGCCGTCTTACAGATCAATAAGGGCATTTTGCATCGTTCAGGTGGCCCAGGAGCTGTGCAGAATTCAGATTTTTCTGAAAAGGGTCCGCACTATAAGTAAAAAATAAATAAATAAAAACACACAAATAAGGACTGATACAAAATAAATACATTGCGACAGACATATACCAACAAGTAGTATGACAACGTACCCCCGCTTTATTGGCAGCTCTGACCCAGAAGCTGTAGGTCTGCCCAGGCAAGAGGTTGCTCACTGTGCATTCTAGCTCAAGACCTTGGTAGACTTGTCCCCGATCTTCGTGTTCGGGCTTTGACATCTCAACAGTGTAACATGTTACCGCTGAGCCACCATCGGAAGCAGGAGAAGCTACAAATACAAAAAACAAAATAAGAAGAAACAAGTTAAAAAGATATGTGCTGTTAGCATCTATATTAGACATTTCTATATTAAGATGTTGAGTCCTCTGCTAGACCCAACACCTAGAGAGGATGTGTGCTCTAAGTAGAGAACAAAGATATTTTTTATAGTATATACAGGGAGTGCAGAATTATTAGGGAAGTTGTATTTTTGAGGATTAATTTTATTATTGAACAACCATGTTCTCAATGAACCCAAAAAACTCATTAATATCAAAGCTGAATATTTTTGGAAGTAGTTTTTAGTTTGTTTTTAGTTATAGCTATGTTAGGGGATATCTGTGTGTGCAGGTGACTATTACTGTGCATAATTATTAGGCAACTTAACAAAAAACAAATATATACCCATTTCAATTGTTTATTATTACCAGTGAAACCAATATAACATCTCAACATTCACAAATATACATTTCTGACATTCAAAAACAAAACAAAAACAAATCAGTGACCAATATAGCCACCTTTCTTTGCAAGGACACTCAAAAAGCCTGCCATCCATGGATTCTGTCAGTGTTTTGATCTGTTCACCATCAACATTGCGTGCAGCAGCAACCACAACCTCCCAGACACTGTTCAGAGAGGTGTACTGTTTTCCCTCCTTGTAAATCTCACATTTGATGATGGACCACAGGTTCTCAATGGGGTTCAGATCAGGTGAACAAGGAGGCCATGTCATTAGATTTTTCTTCTTTTATACCCTTTCTTGCCAGCCACGCTGTGGAGTACTTGGACGCGTGTGATGGAGCATTGTCCTGCATGAAAATCATGTTTTCTTGAAGGATGCAGACTTCTTCCTGTACCACTGCTTGAAGAAGGTGTCTTCCAGGAACTGGCAGTAGGACTGGGAGTTGAGCTTGACTCCATCCTCAACCCGAAAAGGCCCCACAAGCTCATCTTTGATGATACCAGCCCAAACCAGTACTCCACCTCCACCTTGCTGGCGTCTGAGTCGGACTGGAGCTCTCTGCCCTTTACCAATCCAGCCACGGGCCCATCAATCTGGCCCATCAAGACTCACTCTCATTTCATCAGTCCATAAAACCTTAGAAAAATCAGTCTTGAGATATTTCTT